AGTTCGATAGCTATCATCGTTAAAAAGTTATTCGAAATACAACCATCCTTCTCAATTTGAAATGGACATTAGTTCACGATGAAAACACCTTTCGTAGTGGCGAGGTAACAGCCAAGCGTTGACTATATGGTGATCAGACTCCGTTCTATTCTGAAGAACGCGGAAAATCAAAAGTGGTTTCTGATTTTTTGGCTATAAACGACTCTGATCCCTTCTTTCAACTTAGTCCAGCTGAATATGATAAGCCCTTACAAAAATATCCTGAATTAGATGACGAACAAGATATCGACTATATAGAACGTTCTGCTAGTGTATCAATACATGTCGATCCTGATACGTATTTTGATAATTCGACTATTTTATCACAATTTGAACGATCATTTAAATTATTAGATTTTACAGAATCTATAAAAATTATACCATTGAAATTATTGTGGGTAATGCTCGTGCACATTCAGTTCTTGCTTATAGTCTGTCAGATTTGCGTAAAGAAATTGCAACACGATGTCCTGTTGATTACCTGGAATGGATTGATGAAAACGATGATGTTCCATCATTGCCATGTTATTTTTTGAAAATGGTTCTATTCAAGGAAAATCCAAAGGCTTATTTCAAATTGCAGTAGAACTGAAATGTCATCCTTCACCAGGAATAAAATCAAATGAATTACGTCAGTTGCTTTCTCATCATCCCGTCTTCCAGAATGTAAACTTTTTGACAGCTCCACATGTCTCTATACTTTCAACTTTCATTTCTTCGCCTAGATTTTACGTTTAGAACAACTAGCAAAAAAAATGATATATACATTCTCAATCATTCTTTGTTGTTCGGTATCACAAGCACCAGCCATTTCAAATAATGAAACTTCGTTGATTTAACAGAAAGATGGATTTTATTATGAAATATATCGATGAGAAAATTATCTTTTATATGACTCCACAAATCACTAAAATTTCTCTCCGCTATAACTTTCTAACAGAACGGAAACGAAAAAATCTTTTAAATAACTGCTGCTACGAGAAGCAAACAACAGAACGCAAAATGATAGTCTTATTTTCTGAGTCATAGTTACATCTTATAATCATTAGAATAACCTCTGTTCGCTTTTTTTCTAGAAAATTCTTAATTTTATTTGCCTTACAATTCGTTAAAAGTGAATTATAACAATTTTTTTGGACACAATTCCACGGTTTTTGAGAGTTTAATACATGAAAGTTCTCCAAACTCTTACTATTTAGCATCAGTAAACCCCATTTTCACGGGCCTTCATTTGGTATAAAATTCATTATATCGTCTATTTGAAATTATAGCGGTTGTGAGATTCGGATAGATAAACAAATAGTTCATTTTGTCTCGTATAACATGTCAAATCTCCATTTTTATCAATATACTAATATTCAAATCGTAATGTAAATTATAATGTTTGTTTATTTTACGAAAATCTTTTTCGATATATTTAAAAAGGACTTTTATTATTTCTTTGCCTTTTTGATGATCAATTAATTTAGGTGTGCATTTAATATGTATGGGTGGTAGATGTTGTTCAATTGTATAATTTAATGTTTGTTGAGAAATATCCATTTCATTATTTTGTAAGTTATTATAATTTCTTTTTTCTTTATATTTTTCTTTTTCATTTCTACTTTGATGCATTATTATTATGTCATTTCGAACTGAATCATCACCAGCAGGTAAATCATTACATTTATTTTTTCTTTCCTTTCTATCATCTTGATGACTAATATCATTTGATCGGATGTTCGAGTACAAATAATCATTGCTGCTTATTCTTTTACTACGGTTAATGAACAGACGTCAGTTATTGCTTGTTTGTGGACTGTTGTGTTCGATTACAGTGAGATCATTGTTATCATTTAATCTTTGTTGTTTTCTTTTGTTGTTCCTTGTAACAAATTGAAATGAATTATTATCATCTTCATCAATATCATCATCACCATATCGGCTCGTTGAAGTAAGTTGTCGTTTGATATGTTGCTTTGTATTATCTTTATTATTTTCATTTAGAGGCTGATTTTGGTTTGAATTACGTTCATATTCCTTACGTTGTATAATCAAATCTTGAATAATTTCATAATTATCATCACATGTAGAATCTTTTTCTTCTCTTGTCCTTGTTGCATATTTATTAAATGATGTATTTGACATTTTTATTTGAATTATAATATTTATATAGTAAATTTAACCAAATAAAAATATGACACGATGCACGATACAAGATGTATTCGTACATAAACGAGAGGAACGACAATATACGTCATATTCTCACCATGTGAATGTAAAAAGTGAAATAATTCAATCCTATACACGCGTATATCGTGGAATTTTACTGCGATTTTTAATATTTCTTTGTTTCTTCATTTCCCTTTTTCGAAATGAAGAAGAAAAGATATATTGGTGCTTAATTTCAAAAAATTTGTCGGAAATTTCATTTCTTCACGAGATTTTCATAGACTTTTTCTTGTTTTTAAAAACAAACAAGTAAACAGTGATTCATAGTCCATTTTACATTGGTGAAATAATAGTGAGAAATTTTAGAATATCTATTCTACCAATGTAAATGTAGTTATGAATCAATGCATAGTAGTTTCATTCCACTCTATGGATTTTAACGTTCAAATGTTCTATTCAATTGTCATGTATACCGCTGCACTATAACTATTCACATCACTGTTAAAAGACGGCAGAGAAGCTTGAAAGACTTTAAAAAAATCAAATATTAGAAAAAAAAACTTTATTTTCTTAGGTGGGAGGATTCAGAAAAACCTATGTAGCATCTTTAAAACTCATCATAAAATCAATAAACTATAGTGCATCCGAAAGTAAACACTTAACTCCATCCAACGGGCTATGAATCACAAAATTGATGAATTTGACCACAATTGACTGATTTTCGGGGAGGGGAGGGGACTTTAAACTCGAGAAAAATGCTTATTACGATCATCCAGATTAAAATCGATCAAAAATCGAACCAAATTTGAAAATCTGATTAGAATAATACCATGTTAAATGACAACAAAAAACCAATTACAATCAGACTTTTTGTATGGACGGTAATTGCTTGTTTGAGAAAACAAAAGGATAAGAATAAGTCGCACACTGAAATATTTTGAAAATAAATGCGCACGTGCTTTTCTAATTATTATTTCACTTGTTTTTACATTACAGCGATGCACATTAACGGCACGTGTGTATTTCATGTGCAGCAAAAGATTATTTTGAAAAATCGTATTTACTTGTGCACTGAAGCATGTCACACAAATCTATGCTTATGTATATATGTATACGTATAATGAAAGAATACAAAGAAAAATCACATTATCTTGTGCATACCTAAAACTAAGATGTCCATTAACATATCATTTAACAAGCAATCATATGAAAATCGCAAAGAAAATTTGAACATCCAAATTTTTGAAACGGAAAGACGAAAAGATGATAACACTATTGATACTTTCGATAAACAGGCTGTTAACAATATACTTAATGATGAACAGGTATGTATTTATGACTTCACTGTTTATAAAAGTTTTCTTCAGTTTGATCTCATCGTCAAAAAAATACACACATATTGTTGGCGAGATCGAACAATAGAATATATTTAGGACAAAGAGAGCAATCGTAAGAGATGAGGATAATGTTCGGAAGTTTCATGACGATCTGTTGCAATGAGTCACTTATATACGTTGTTAGAGTTTGTTTTTTTCTTTTGCTTCGATGTATACATAGGTGATATATGTGCTGATCTATATGCACGAACTTTATTCTGTATATATCCAGAATGAAAAACAAACAAAACATATAGACGCATACCCAGGCAGGCAAAAAATAAGGGAGGACGCCCGACATGACTAGTCTCAAATGTCCGCACTACCGTCTGGTCTAGTCTGAGATGACTTACAGCCCGTCAGGACTAGTTGTCTTGACGCACAAAGTCTTGCAACTGAATATAGAGTAGTCCGAAAGAAGCTATCACCCTGTCATGACTAGTCGGTTTCGTATAATCATACTGTCCAGACGCGTCAGCGTAAGGATAAAAGCCGAAGGAAAAGGGGAGCATAGGTGGTTTCGAACATTCGATCCGACAATATTGAATACCTGACTAGTCCAAATTATTTTCAATAGCAATCCAGACTAATATGAAGAGTCACTTGTACTAGTCAAGACTGATTGTTTTCACGGAACTAATGACAGTTTTAATTCAGAATAGTCTAAACTCCTTAGATAGTCTCTTTTGGTTGCACCTAATTATACGAGCAGCTCATATAGACTCGTTTATATGGAGACTAGAACGATGTATGCAGCGAGTTGTCTATTCATGTTCTCTAAATGTATAGACTGTAATAATTATTAAGAGTAGTTTTATTAGAAGAATGAATTTTAATATTTTTCTAGGAGAATGTTTTTATATCTTAATATAAAATCTGATGGTTTGGAGTTAAAAAGAAAATTTAGATCATAGAATTATAGTTTATTTTCAAATTTAAATCAGAAATATTTTAAATGAAGATAAACCTAAAATTTGATATGAAAGGCAAGATATTTTTGAAAATATAAATTATTTTTATTTTCTGTTGAAATGTTAATTGTTTTTCAAATAAAAAATAATGTTTTCCAAATACTAATGATAAAAAAATTTCTTTTGAAAGAAAGTTAAAAAGCTCTCAATCAAGATTTATTTAGCTTTATTTAGCTGATTTGCTATCTTATATTAAACATTTTTAATTCATATTCAAGCTGGAGAAAGTGCAAGTCAAACTATATCAATTAGCATCTTAGAATGTCTATTGACATGTTAAAATTGATCACTTGATCATATGGTTCAATCGGGTAAAGTATGAGTAAGTAACATATGCTATGCATGTTCGAATCTAACCCTGTGCACATACTCCTATCAGTTAGACTAGTTTGGACTAGACCACTACATAGAAACAGATCCTGACAGATGTCGCGTCACAGACGCTCTTCCTTTTTAAATTTACAATCTATTTTGGACGGGTGTCCGGACGGGTGCTATACATGCTATCGATTTCGGACTAGTCATCTAGGAGTCCGTTTTGAGAAAAAGACCATACCGGACGGGTCGTCTGGACTAGATAAAAGACTAGTCCTTTTACCCGTCTTTTGCTCGCCTGGGTAAGTAGAATGAAAAGAAAAGAAGGTACTAATAGAGAGATCAAAGAAGATGAAAAAAAAATAGAGGATGATATTAAAGACTGATGATGTCAACGTGCGACATCACCATAACATACGATTTCCATAATTAATAATTCTCGATTATGCATAATTACTAATCATTCATTTTTAAGCATCAACATTCATTGATAATGGAGAAGAAAGTGAAGCGTAAGAAAAAGAAGTATCGAGTAAAAGAAAGCAATGGTGACATTCAGTACGACCAAGCAAGAATTACAATTCATGATGAAATAACAAATGATTCTCAACAAAATAGAGAAGAAGACGTTAATGAAAGACAAGAGACAATAATAACAGAGGATGCTAATAAGGCTACTGATAACGTTAGCTCAAGAAATCGTGTGTATGTTGAAGTTGCCACAGAAGAAATAAATCCAGCAATTTCGAACGATGTCAACGATTTCGAAAAACATTTTAGTCCTATTTCGGGCTATGCCGAAGAGCCTTTGCTGCCACTCGTCAAAGCATGTGCTTCATTAAACGATATCCTTCACGATTTATCGAAATATGTTCAGCTGGCATTAAACGAAACTCCAGAAGAACCACCTGATGATTTGACAATTGACGAAAGCGCTGCAATTCGACTGTATACGATTGAATGGGATAAACCATATCGAAGTCTCTATTCAATGCTCAATCATACTTTGAAGACAGGTACTCGAGAAGATGTTCGACCTTACTTCAAATATCTCAAGCTATTCTTAACTGCTGTGGTTAAACTACCATGCCTTCCACCATTGACTGTCTGGCGAGGAATAACCACAAATTTGAGTGCAGAGTTTCCACCTGGCACCTTAGTGACATGGTGGCCACTGTCATCATGCACAACATCACTAACAGTGCTCGAAAATAGTATGTATTTGGGTAATTCAGGTAATCGAACGCTCTTTTCCGTCGAAGTCATCAATGGTCGAACAATACGTGCTCATTCACATTTCGTCACCGAAGATGAAGTTCTTCTTCTGCCTGGTACTTACATGGAAGTTCAATCGCAAGTGAGTCCAGCACCCGACCTTTATATTATTCATTTGAAACAATTAATACCGGAGGAAGCCCTACTAGAACCACCTTTCGAAGGTCTTGCAAATGTTTCTAATTATTCGTTTTACATTAAAATTTTTTTATGTTTAGGTGCACGTATTTTTCCAAAAATTAAGTAAGTCTAATATCATTATATTTTTCACAAGACTTTTCATCCTATTTATAAGGCGACCTTGGTATCATAAGAAGAGATTTATCATTCCAATCTGCTTGTTGGTGGCTATATTCATCGTTGGAGCTATTATCGGTGTTGTTGTAGGATTAAAAGTTGCTGCTAACAAGAAAGGTAGAGTTTTCATGGTGTATAAAACTCAAGACAAGTGATAATTTCCAGGAGAAACGCACATTAACTGTAGAGTACGTGAAAGTATAAAAGTGACGTCCTCCTATGTTACAGAACTGCAATTGACAAAACACTGATCAATCGGTTGTGCAATCAGTCTGAAAATCTTTCTGATCTATTCAAATATTTTTACACTGATGAAATTCAGTGGATCTCTGCGAAACTAGTGCGTTGAAGTAAGATCGGCTTCTTTTCAAAAATGTCAACAACCATTTTTTTGTGAATAAGTTTTCAACAGTTCAAGCTATTGAAATCAAATTTTCACTGTTGAAAAGAGTGATGTCGAGGACATCGATCTGTATAAAGTTCATTAGGTTAAAGAATCTTTTCTGTAATTATTTTCACACAGCTATCTTATTTTTTTGTTTATCTCCATAAGTTTTCGTGACGAGTTAACATCCATTTACGCCAAAATTTGCTTGTATTTCCTACAGTTTTCAAATCTTTTCATTTTCTTTTCAAGTTTTTTCATCATGCATTGATGTTAAAATATGAAAAACTAGCAGGAAATACAAGAAGACTTTGGCTACATTTTGGCATAAATGGATGCTAACTCGTCATGAAAACCCATGGAAATAGACAAAAAAGTAAGATAACCATGTGAAAACAACTGCGGAAAAGATTCTTTAACCGAATGAACTTTATACAGGTCGATGTACTCAACATTGCTCTTTTCTACGATGAAAATCCAATCTCGATAGCTTGAGCAGTTGAAAACTTATTCAAAAAATGATCGCTGACATTTTAAAAGAATCTGACGTTTGTGGGAGTTATTTTGGATGAATGAAAAAGACACTGATACAAACTGATGAAATCATTAGCAAAGATTTTATCAAAATCAGATGAGAAATTCTCGTACAGTCTGACAAATCGATCTGAATGATCGGATTTTTGTCAATTAGCGAAAGTTCACTGTAATTTCACCAATAATTGAGGAAAGTCTTAATGACGAAGTTCGAGGAATCCTGTAAATCAAAGCTAATTTTTATTAAAGAGAATGACTAATTTTAGTTTTTATTTTCATATTTTCAATTCACTAGTACCCTTTTTTGCTAAACTCGAACAGAATATGGTCGTGATTCAACAGATTTGTTTTTATTGAAAAATCGATAAAATAGAGTAAATTTTAAAATGAAAATTTCGAATTTACAAGTAGCTCAAAGTGCAATGAAACAGATGGAAGGATAGGCAGTGGTGCAAGTAGTTTCATTCTATGTCTTGCCTCATTGTCATCAATAAAGAAAGGACTGTCTTTGTAACTTTCATGACTTTTTTGCATGAAGTAATTTCTACGACTTTGAAACATTTTCATAACTTTAATGGCTTTGAAAATCATGAAAGTTTTGCTTTACATTCATACTATTATAGTAAAAAACAGTTGTCTGTCTATCTGTCTGTTCCAGATCAAAAGTTAAGGGTTAATGGCTCAACACTTTTGCGATTATTTGAAACTTTCCAGAACAATGCATAGTTATCCGAATTGTATGAGGCTTCAGAACTTTTTAGAACATTCTATAAGGTACCATATGTTATGGCCAACGATCCGACTTGAATATATTATTATTAACTATACATTGTTGTGGAAATTCTAGAGAACTTCAGGAATGTTTTCACCTTTAATCTTTGACCTGAAACAGACTGACGAATAGACAACCGTATTTTACTAGAGTTTCCCAGATCATTCTAGAATGCCCCCGAACGATCCTTCAAAAAGGCATATAAGATAACGTTTCCCAATGATTAATAGAGAGAGCAATAATCATAGTCTACGAATGTTTTCTTTTTGTATGATCAACTCAAGATCTGTTACCTTGTATATGACATAAGCAGGAGCGAAGCTGCAAGTTCCTTGCTAGTATCCTATATTTAGTACATTATTTGAATATTACTGTGGAATCTGATACTTTGGGATATGATGAATAACGAACATATTTACCACTTTCAAATTCAGTTCAATAGGAGCATAGTAGATAATCAGGACAGCTATCGAAAGAAATCTTAATTAAGGAGATACAAACTGTTTTATTATCACTCCAATAGCAAAACCAGGATAAATGCACAAAAAAGAACAAATAGAAGGAATAAGAATTTGCAGAAACAATGATAAGTCCGTTATGAATTTTGTATTTTGATGAACATGTTAAAGTTATTGATCTATTTTTGCATGAATTTCTTTCCTGTATCGATTTTCACTTTAAAATGAGACAATTTAGGAAGGAAAAACCGAAAAAAAATTATGTATTTCGTGGCATTTTTATCCAATGATGACAAGTGATTCTATTATCTGTTGTTTATCGAATAACTTTCAAACGTTAAATGCTATTTAGGTGGAGCTTTCACTATTCTGATTTTTACACAAAATCCAAATGAATTTTTCGACTCAATCAGTTCTCTTTAAGGCAAAGAAAACTGCTCAGAGAAAGATTGCAAAAAAAGCTGTTTATTTCTTTTAGGAGAACTCTACTATTAAAGCTATAAAAATGAATTTCTAATCATGAAACATTTGTGTATATACTCTTCACCAATGTGCAGTACCGAAATAATTTTACCAATAAAATATAAACACCAAAAGCGTGATAATCTAAATCTTGAAATCGATCAATATCTTTTTACGAATGTTTAATGAAGTATTTGAATTCATCGTAGACAACATAACACAATTATAGAAAGTGATATACGTAATTATTTCGATCGCTTCTTCAACAGATATTTTTAGTAACTATTCGGATTATTATTTAACTTCTATGCCAAATAAACTATTTAAAATGAACATATGTACATTATCCGTATAGAGCGAAAGAAAACCTAATGTTCTGCATTCAACGTTTCATTTTCACTTAATACGCATTTTGTTTGCATTTTTTCTACGTTCTAAATAATTTAGATAGTATTGAAGTTAAATAATGACGCGAATAGTTGCTAATAATATTTGTTGAAGAAGCAATCGAAATAATTACGTACATTGCTTTCTATAATTGTGCAATGTTGGCTGTAATGAATTCCTATACTTCATTAAGCTTTCTTAAAAAAAAGTACTGATCGATTTCAAGGTTTGGATTATTATGCTTCTTGTTTTTATATCATTATTATTAAAAGAGATAATATCATTAGATAATATGCCATTTAAAACATCGTTTTGAGTACCTCAAGCTCATCAGAATATAGTCGAGTATGGATGACTTTTTATTGGCATATAAACTAATTTTTGTTGAGATTCAGAAATTGTAGGACACCTTTTATGTTTAACTTGGCTATTTGACAATTGTTAAGGCGCTTAAGTTTTTAGATCTACAGATTCAACATCGAGTTGAGCCTATTAGTATAAAAATTGATTACTCTAGAAAAAAGGGTTAGATATTTAGGAAACACTTTTCAATTTGGTCTCATAATCGAAGAATTTGTACTTTAAGTTAAGACAATTAGATATATTCAGATCAAATCAATGCTCTCATTGATAGACTTGCAATTGTTTTAAAATATAGGGTACTCATAACGTTTCTAGAAGGACATATTGATATTCTAAAGGATAATAATACAGTTTAAATATATATATAAAGAAACTATTCATGTTTAGTTTTCTCTTGTTTAATCAACTGATTTTTTTAGTCAAAAATGTTGAAGATCTTGCTTAAGTTTTCAACAACATTATTGTCACGTTAAATTTGATATCTTCACAAAACTTGATAGGATTTTAGTAGAAATAGATTGGATTTATATTTGAAAAATAACTTACATGTAACATACTCACATTTCAAATGTACTGACTTGTCGTTTTATGATCTGGCTGAATGATGTAATCTTGCACAGCATTTAGTAATTTTCTAGGAAGAAAATGATAAATTCGACAAAAGAACATAAAAGAACTTGATCATATAAATAAATGTCATTTTATGAGCTTCTAAATGCCAGAAAAAGGATGATAAGTGCAATCTTTTCTTGAATGAAATTCTGCATTCTATTGTACATAAACAATTTCTTCTTTTCGTAATTTTTGAGTAAACTCGAATTGCTCTAAAAATATGCGTAGAGTTATACTTCCAAACTCAAACATGTCAAATATTTGTTTGTTTCAAATTGAAGAATCGAATACAATCTGCGCATCATTAGAACAGAAATGAACATGAATAACCATGAATACTTCACAGATATGTAGCACACTATCTTCAATTTGTTGTATGTCCGCCATATAGAAATGATTTTAAATCTGAGCTCAAACATATCAAGGAAACAAGTGAAACTACTAAAGAATTTTAGAAGCAAATAATGTTTTTTTCAAGTTTTCAGGATTCTATTGTTTAATTAGCTGTTACGAAAGACAAATATTTATGGCTCACACTAGATGCAAAGATTTCTTTATCATGATCATGGGACTGAACATCTTCATTTCTAGTAATTCGTGATCTACAAATGTATCATATTGCATTTTGTATTGTTATCACTAAAGATAAAATTAACACTTTTGATAACTTAATAATTGACATACATGTCACAGACAAAATTAAACATAGACAGAGTTTGTTTTTATATAGGGGCAAAACTACGAAACAATTCTATTTTATTCAAAAATAGTTTATAATTTGCATTTCCATTAATAATAGATAGAACGTACTTGCTTATTTTTAACTAATGAGAGAAGCTTCTCAATTGATCCATCACTTTTAACTCGAGACTATGTGCATCGTGTAGGGTAGGAACAACCAAGAGATCTAAAACCTTCACAATAAACTATTCTCATTGAGAGTTGTCACCATTCAAACTTTCAAGTCGAAATTACAA